TATTATAATATAATTTATACCATTATTGCCTCATATTAATTAGGAGACTATATATTATATTAGAGTGCTTAAAACAATTGTATTGATACACTGTAGAAGTTTGTAGAACTGCATAATAATAATAATAATAATAGTAATGTATTATTATTATTATTACACATGCAGTTTTTATTGACTAATATAAATTAATGAATAGACTGTTATATTAAAGTGCTTTAAAAAAAAATCATTATCAAAACTTATATAAACTGCACTAAAGCTACAGGATGACTAAAATATATGAAGAATTTAAAATAAACAGTGTCCAGTTACATGATCTAAAAATAAACTATTATTAATATATATATATATATATTACATTATGCATATAAATTTCAGGTAACACTTTATTGTAAGGACCAATTCTAACTATTAATCTAACTGCTAGAATATTAGCTGTTTATTAGTACCTATAAACATATTTTACATCCTTTAATCCTACCCCATACCTAACAACAACTACCTTACTCTTAATAAGCAGCAAATTAGCAGTTTGAGACAAAAGTCGTAGGTAATAATGAGAATTGGACCTTAAAGTGTGACCAAATTTCATCTTAAAATCTCGATGTTAAAAAAAATCAGTTATCTGTCAATGTGTCAAGTCCTTTGAGCTCTTGTGTATGAGCTGATTTGTGTGTCAGGTACCGGTTATTCTTGCGGAGCAGTACTTTAATCTGGTTGAAGTCGGGCCTCTCGTTGACGTCCTCTGACCAGCAGCGCTGCATCAGCTGTCCCAACTCATCGCTGTGGCTCTGAGGACACAGCAGGGGACGCAGGTACGGCCAGCGGCCCTCCGCCACACGCTCTATGATCTCTGAACCACAAATTACACACAGCAATGGAGAATAAGAAAGACGAACAAACATGCAATGAAACATTCTCCAGATCACACAGGAAATAACATACACAGATTAGCACATAGAGTTAGCGTAGCAAATTTCACAGAGAAACAGAGAGTGCGATCGCACTCCCTACTGGTGTGAGAGATAGAAAGAGAGCAAATGTGTGAGGAAAAAAAAAGAGTAAAAGAGATGAAAGTGTCATTCACAGGTTTTGAGAAGACCTCGGACTTCACAAATGTCTTCACAGCATTCAACAGAAGTGATGATGACACAATGCTGTCACGACCTTCCTGTCTCACTCCACATCTCACTGCACTCGGGAATACATATATTGCCTATATCTTCATCCACAACATGAACATATGATCACAATATGATTGGATGAGCTGCATTCAAAGCTGCTGTAAAGGTGCTGATATACACACTATCTATCTATCTATCTATCTATCTATCTATCTATCTATCTATCTATCTATCTATCTATCTATCTATCTGACTGTTAATGGCAGTGTCTCTGGCATTCTCTCATTGCTGTCTTTGACTCCCTTTGTTCTCGTGGTGAGCTGGCTCTGCTCCAGACACTTCACTCATGTTTTGTTGTCTCTGCTTAATGAAGCCGGTGTTATGTGTGTGGTGATCCGTTTATGAGGACGGGTGACATCGCTGAGTGTGTGTTTGTATCCATGTCTCCATATAAGCAGGGATTGAAATTAACTTTTTCACTCACCAGCCAATTTGGCTACTAAATTTTTAAGTTACCGGCCATTCATAACTTCTACTAGACAAATAAATAAATAAAAATAGGCTAGACAAATAAACCAACAGCTTGAGGCTGTCTACACTGGGTGTGACAAAGCGACCGTTGCAAATCCTTTTGTGTCAGTACTGTGTGCGATATTGACAAAAAATAATATCTCAATATTTTCTGGAATTTTATATCGATAAAGATAATTAGACAACATTTTGCTAAGTGTGTTATTGTGCTGATATAAGGACTACCGTGGACAGCTTCTAAAGTTTTTGATATACATTTCATATTCTGTGTGGTCAGTTCACAGCAGTGATATAAATGAATCTTTTCCAATAAGTTAAAATAGATTTTTACCTTTTATGGGCATTTTTACCTTTATAAAGCCATTTTTTCTAAAAGTGTGCATAATCTTTTGTGTAAAATTCTTACATTAAATCAGTCAATTATAATAATAATACATTTAGGCTGTTACTAAACAAATGAAATCAATATAAACAAAATTAATCTTTGTAGAAGTTTGCATATGAAGTGGCATTTAGATGTATTTACACATGCTAATGCAGCTTAGAGGGACATGGAATGTTTTACCCTGCAGTTACAAATGCATAAATAATGTTTTGATATATTAAACATGAAATGTTGAATACTGACATTTGGAAATTATTTAAATAATGAAAAGATACTTGAAATGTCAAATTAAAACAATTAAAACCGCCAGTAGGTGGCAGCAAGTCACTGTTAAGTGAGTCATTGCGATTGAACCGAATCATTTAAACGGTTGATTCATTCGGGAACAAAACACCGTCATGTTGCTCAGAGACGCAAAACAGCGCTGTGGCTGTGTTTGGAATTATTTTTGTTGCCGAAATAGAGCAAAAACAGCCAATATGGTGTCTAAAACGTAAGTCTCTTGATATTAACTTATTGATTATTATGAAAAAAAAGACACTCTTCGAGTGATATTAACTGTATGAAATTAAATAAATATATACATTTTCTGCCCCCTTATCTTGAATTATGTGATCATTCTTAATGCATATTAATAGACTGAATCATGCAGTGAAAGAAC